ACGGATGCGGTGCGAAATGAGACATTTCGGATGGGTAAAACCTTATGGCGGGGGGATGCAGATGCAAGCTCTGTGGGAAGAACCTATAGAGCGGCCAGTCAAATAATTTATTTTTGCCACCCTGACGATGGAATATTAAGTGCTCCTTTGCCTACCACAACCCCGTGGCATGCAATCCAACGGCAAGCCCAATCCGTTGTGATTTCCCAGCTTGCTGTTCGCCTCAGTTGCCAAGCAACAGGTAGGCCCACAATTTGGCCACGGAAAGCGAGAAATTCTCTCTCTATCACCTCTCTGCTCACTTTGGCGGCCAAATAGAAAATCGGCCCAGATGCTGGTGGAGGAAGCACAAACGAAGGAGGAGGCGGCCAAGGAGAGCCAGCAGCCGAACCTTTAGACTCACTTTCCTTCGTTCGCTGCGTCACAAGGGAAATTCTGTGCGCCATGAGAATTTCCCAGCACGCCGCAGCACATCTCGCATGCGATAAATCGGTGCACAAGCGGATGGGAAACCAAAAACCGAAACACTTGCGTCCGCCCAGCCGCCCGAGCGCCCTCCTGGGGTCCCACTTCGTTTCGCTTTCGGGTCTGGTTCATCGCCAACTCGCTGCTTCCACGCCGATTCTGATTTCAGTTCTCGTTCAGCTTTGCCGACGGCACGACGTGCTCCTTGACCAGCGAAAAGCCTGGGAATACAGGGACACCCGACTGGGGAAATTTCTCGTCATATGGTTCGGTCCGCCAGCAAACACAGAGAGCACTTTAAAAGTTCCAAAAAAGATTAAAACCACGTTATCAACAGCTTGCTGTCTAAACAGCTATTACAATTAACAAAAAAGTTGAAAAAAAAATCAGTGATGTGAGTTTAATTGGGAATTTGATTATGTTTTTTTATTGGTGATTAGAATAATTTGCAATTGCAAAGGTGATTAATTGTTTTTATTTTTTGAGTGCCAGAAGGACGCATGTATTTCAAAAGCTGAAAGTGTGCCATAACAATGATCGAAATAGCGTAAATAAATCAAAAGCTCTAAGCCAAATTGATTGAGAAGTCGCATTAAAAAGTTTTAAGAGATACACTCAAAATGCTCTAAAAATTGTATACAAAACCTGTGCAAATTCTTCAACCATGTTTGTGTTTATTCTGTGAACGTTTATGAGTCTCTTCCGACAACATAAATACATTCTAGTATCTATGAAATCATTTGAGTATTCTTTAAAGTGACTGAAAATTTCTAACTTAATTTCATGTATTCCTTGAATTGCTGTGACACTCCTAATACACTTTTCCAAGTTCCTCAAAAGTTGTAGGAATGACCGGGACCAAGTTGGCGCTGCAAACAAAAATCGATGAGTGAGATGAATTCAGAAATGATTAATATTTGACAAACGGCTCGACTATGTTACATTCTTTGAAAACAGACTTAAAGTAGCAGCAATTTGCTTTGTAAATGCCCCGCTTATTCGTTTCCAAATCAAAAGTGCCCGGAAAATAGGCCCAAGCCCCTTGGCTTGGGAATTAGTTTGATGGCAAATTAAATAGTGTAAGCCCGTTCAGCAGCCAAATCGGCTTAACACCTCTCCGCAATCAGACGGCCTCAGTTGCGGCTCTGGGAGTGCGCCATGGCTCAATCCGCTCGTTGTTTGCCCCCAAAATGAAACCATTCGGGCTTAAAGTGTTCATTCCCCAAATGTTTGAGTCGCACCTCGACCTGGCGCCCCCGTTTTGGCCAATGATTTTACCCTGAATTCCCGTCGCTGCTGCATGTGTGCTCCCGGGAGATTTGCTTTGTTCGACAAATAAAAAAGTAAATTGGTACCTGTTCCTGTACCTGGGCCAGTTTTTGTTGCTAAATTAAGTGCAAATGCTTGCTGGTCATCAGGAGATAGGGTTGGTCACGGGATTAGACCCTAAACGTACCCTGTAACGGATCTAATTTATAGGAAGATAATTATTTTATGAATTTTTGAAAGTTTGCATTGCGGAATTTATTTAAGCAACATAAACAGCCGATTCAATCTAGCCAAATCAGTCTGTCCCCGTAGTCTTTCCATTTCAAACGATCGGAAAATTATTTTTAAACAATTTGTGGGTTTTTAGAATATTTTCATTTGTCTTTAAATTATATTTTTTAACATGTTAGAATTGCGGTTTTAGTTTTAGTATAAGTGTGGGATTGGTTTTCCCCTCAAGCTGTATTTTAATGCTAAATAAAATAGTATAGAGTAAGTTGTTTAAACTAATACAACGTGAGTTTTCGTTAAAAATTAGATCGGATCTCGATCGCGTCGTATTAACTTTCAAACGTCGCAACATTTAAAACCTCTCACTGACAATACTTAAAGCAGTTGAACTTTGAGGATACAAGTTGCGGGAAAATGGAGGAATTAAATGGTATTGGTAATTTGAAATACTTATAGTAAAACTGTCACACGCCTGCCGCTGTGGCATAAAGCAAAAATTTGAATGTTCTCCAAGGAAAAGACTGCAGGACATAAAACATGTGTCAACTCTCCGCCTCCTCCTCCTGCACCGCCTTCAAAAGTATTTATAATTGTCGCTGCACGGGTCCCCCTGATCCCTCATTCAAATCCTTAACCCCACTATTCCATTCATTCCTGTGCGCTTGTTAAATATTAAAGCTGCTCAGGCGCTTTAGTTAAATTTTTGATAAAGCAAGAAGCTAACTTTGGAAATCCGAATTTTGTGTACCCTTGCAATTTGCAATTAGAGACAACATTTCCTGGTTTAGAGTATAAATTGATCAAATCACCTCCTATGTCAGCTATATTATATATTTGTTAGATTATTATAAAACAAGAAAGGAAGCTAACTTCGGCACGCCGAAGTTTTTATACCCTTGCAGATTGGTTTTGATGTTTATATTATAGATTTAAATGCTGAAAACACTCACAAAACTGAGTTTCATTCCATTTTACCTATACTTATTATGTTTACAGTTTGACAGTTACAGTTTTACATTTCCAGCTTTACATATTGTATACATTTACCGATCGCTTCTATGGCAGCTATATGATATAGTTGTCTGATTTTCATAAAATATTTACCAAAATTCTAAAATAATAAAAGAAGCTCATATCTAAAAGTAGATAAGAATATGTTGAAAAACAACGAAGTTATTATTTTTTTCCTATTCATTTTCCGATCGTTCCTATGACAGCTATAAGATATAGTCGTCCGATTTTCATAAAATTTTTACGGAAATTCTGGAATAATAAATATTGAAACACAGCCAAGTTATAATTTTTTTTCTAAAAATTGGACGAACATTTGTATGGCAGCTATATGATATAGTCGTCCGATCCGGCCCGTTCCGACATATATAGCAGTGAGAGTATATAGAAGACTATATGCAAAGTTTCATTCAGATAGCTTTAAAACTGAGGGACTAGCTTGCGTAGAAACAGACAGACGGACAGACGGACAGACGGACATGGCTAGATCGACTCGGCTGTTGATGCTGATCACGAATATATATACTTTATAGGGTCGGAAACGTCTTCTTCACTGCGTTGCAAACTTCTGACTGAAATTATAATACCCTGCAAGGGTATAAAAATTTAAAACGTTGTTCTAACATTGTAAAAGCATCTTTATTAAGGGGCTTGGTGTTCAATGTACGTGAATCAAAAAGTTTGAAGTTCTTTTCTAAAAAAATTATTTCGAAAGTAGGTGAACACGATAGATAACTTTCTTGTATTATATTTTTTATACTCCAAATTACTTTTTTTAAATAAAAAATTGGGGTTTTGGCTTTAAATTGTGTGTACATTGGGGCTATTCAACAAATGTTTAAAACAGCGAAGTTGTAATTTTTGTTATAAAAATGTATCGATCATTTTGATGGCAGCTATGTGATATAATCGTCCGATCCGGCCCATTCCGACTTATATACCATAAGACAGAAGGAAACAAGAAATATAATTTTACTTTTATAAACTCAGATAGCTCTAAAAGGGATCAACTAGTTTGCGTAGAAGCCGTCAGACAGACGGGCGAACAGAAAAACATGGCTAGATAGAATCGACTTTTAACTGCGTTGCAAAGTTTGGACTGTGTTTATAATTCCCTGCAAGGGAAATGAGCAGAAAGGCCAAGACAAACTTAAATAAAGAATACTGTGAACAGAAAATTGAAAAAATTAAGAAAAATATACAATTTTGGGATCCGCACATAAAGCGTGGCAAAAGAAAACACAGCTTGAAGCACTTAATTGCATTTGCCGTGTGTTTAACTTGCAGCTGCCGTCGCATAATTATAAAAATGTTGCCCATACGCCGTGTGTGCGCTGAAGCATTTTAAGCGCATTTCATTTGACCAGCTGCAACGCCACAACGCCGAGGGAAGGCTTTTCGGGCATTATAAATGTTACATATTTGGCGCTTGGTCCGCAGCTGCGGTGCGTTGGGAAGCTGGAAATTTGTGTGAAAATTGCAGCATTGAAGTCAATGCAAGAGAACGCCGTATTGCACTATAAAATCTAGCTTAATTGCTAACATTTACAGGACAAATTTATGTAATATTTATGGCTTAAGCTAGGAGTCTCCTATGTTGCCTCACAAGACAGTGAGGGACAAAGTGCAGACAATCGAATTTCAGAAGAGATTCACAATGAATAGTTTCAATACTAATCTACTATCTTAAAAACTACAGTTATTAACAAAGTTCGAGAAAACAAATCAAATTCCCAAAACTGTAATTTTGTACACACAATATTGGGATAAACGTTGTGTAGGCATCAACGCCCAAATAAAATGGAAGGTCTAAGCTGGGAGCAGAGAAAGACACGCATTGAGGAGTTGGCGGAAAGTCGCGTAGGGAAACCCCTAGGAATACCACTGGTGATCCATACGAGGATGTACGTGTTATAAGGCAGTAGGTGTCCTATCCGGCTTTTCGGAGCTAAAGGGTTAGCCCTAATTGACTCTCTAATTTCGATAACAGTTCTTCCAAGGCGCCGTTTGGCGCATGCCTCCATACCGCCGATTAAGGCTAGCAATTACAATGTTTTGTACTCCATAAAATCTAATGTAGATACATAGCTTTCCTAAACTAAAAACTTGAGGCCTAAGCCACTTATTACACATGCAAGTAATCAATAGCAGCACGCCAGTAGTAGCTTTCTCGTATCCTTTTCTATTTATGTATTTCCTTCGCGCCTAATAACACCCAACACGAACAAGCACGTGCTTGATATCGAGTGCATCAACGTGCACATACATGTACTACAATTACAGTTTTACATTCTCTGCTTTACATTTTACCATACATCTACCCGATTTTCATAGAATATGAAATTAAATATAATATTTAATGACCATGTCTCATAGAAGATATGGTTCTGATTAAAATAATAATACCATGCAAGGGGATAAACATATTTTATTAGAAAATTCTGAGAAGAGTCTTATGAATCAATAATAGGTTACTGACATTTTTCTAAACATTTTTTGTACTGGAATGATAATGGCGTGTTTTCTTGTCACAGATGCAAAGTAATTTAATTAATTTCCAAATGCATATTGAATAATTTGCACATAAGAAGAAAAACAAAAAAAAAAATAAAAATAAAAATAAACAAATGTGAGTCAAAAAAGTTAGAAGAATCGTGAAATACTTAAATATATTAAGATCAATAAACAAAAAGATGTATACATACATATACATACATTATATGTATGTTTGAGTCAAACTTTTGATTGATTTGTGGCAGCAACGACTATTAAACAACAAATAGAAAAGCAACAAGCCAAAGAAAAAAATCAATAACAAATCAACAACAAAAACAACACGAAATACAAAAACACGAATGCGGGTGAGTAGCCAAATAAATAAATAATTAATGAAGCTGTGCGATGCACACAAAAAAAAAAAAGGAAAACAATGAAGACAAACAAAAAGAGCCAACACAGGAAAAACAAACAAGGGGAAAAAAAAAACAGTGGGTGGAAAATTCCAGCAGCAAGTGCATAAAATGCCGCATCAAAGAGAAACATAACAAAAAACACCAACAGCAGCACTAACATTGCATTAATCACCACTAAAAAACCAACAATCAACAAGGAGTTTTTGTTGTCCTTCGCTGTGATTTATTTATTTATATTTCTTGTTGTTTTGGGCTTTGCTTTATTTTTTGTCTTTATTTACTATTCGCGACTTTGTGACGCCGCAAATATTTGTAATTGTAGGAAGGCTGGGGGGAGTGGCGGAAAAATAAAGCCGAAGCTGGTTAACAATGGGTTAAGCGTAGCGTGCACCCTGAGGTATCAGATATGAAAACAAAGGTTAAAATTTGAATTAAATATGGAGAATTCGCTTGTCGCTTTGTATTTGATTACCACTCCTTTGTAGGGGCGAGACAGTTGTGAAAATATTCGTAAACAATCAATTTCTTTATTTTTTTTTTTTTAATAAAAACTGTTTTCTATTAGAAAATATAATATTTAAAATGAAAATGAAAATTTATCAAAAAAAAAAATAAATTCAAAAATCTTGCCCATGTAACGTCAAAGAGTCGAAAACTTTTCTCTGTATAAAGTTTCTTTACTTTCCAGTCAAAATATTAATGTTTTTTTCAAAGGAATATTGATTATTTGATTATAGATTAGTTTATGCAAATTGGCGGATGTAAACCAAGCCCGAAAAATTAAATGTCAACCTATAAAATTTTTAAATTTCACAATGGTTTCATAGCTTATTTCTGTCGTTCTCATGAAGAAATATATGCTTTTCGCTACCAAATCTTTTTATTACAATCTGTTGAAAACAGAATAAGTTGCTCTCTAAGGAAATCTGAAGTTATTTATTTATTCCGAAGTTTGTAAACCTTTGTAGTTTGTATTTAGATTATTAAGACTCGATCCTTTTTTGTCAAATGAATAGAAAAACATAAAAGATATTTATAAATAGCAGTTAATAATTTGGGTTAACAAAATTAAAAAGCGAAAACATTTTTGTTTAATTGTATAATTAAAATTATACATGAAAAAAAGTAATCAAGCCACTCGGAAGTGAATTTGATAACATTTGGGGATTTCCCTTTAACATAAGCGAATTTCCCCTGGTGATTTAAGGAAATTTTGTTAAATTTCCCTTAAATTCCAAAATAATTTCAGCGGCCCGCTCCCAACAAAAGGGTTTGCTTTGTCTAAGACTTGCTAATAAGAGGCTGATTAAATTTTGGCCCGCTGTAGTCTCAAACTCATAGATGGTAATTAAGTACTAATTTAATTAATAAAATCGAGGGAATAAGCATTTACGGCAGAAAATACACATTTTGAAATATTTTTAATTGTGATTAGCTGGTCTGGTAGCAAAATGCTTTAAACTAATAGCCGATCTTCTAATTGAAAAACAAATTAATCTTAGATATATGCCTTTTTTTGGAACGCTGACAACCCTTAAATGGTCCCTTTTTAAATTCGATTCAGTGGCAAAAATGTTTAAGGTTAGAATCCATCCGATTTTAAAGGGCAACCACAAAAAAATTATTTAAAAATCAAGTATATTAGCTTTAGGTAATTCAGGTATGCAATAATGTTCATAAGACCTCAAAGAATAAACTACAATTAACATTTACATATTAATTTCTGGTTTTGCGGATCTGAATCCGCCAGCCAAATGGCAGTCGGAAAGTTTCCGAGCGGTTTCGCTGGCAAGTTAACAAGACGTACCAGGGCAATACGAACCCGAAGGTTTTTTTCGGAATTGTAAACTAGAACAGGTCAGGGAAATCCGACTCCGAGTGGAATCCGAGTATGGCAGCTATATGATATGTCATCCTGCAAGGTTATAACAAGTGATTAAACAACCTTTATCCTCTTTGGATGTAAATTTATCGCTGTGCTATACTTCATCCCAATTAGCCGACATTTAGGTTAAGTGTAGTTGACTTTTAAATTTCGTAATTGAATTTTGTGTATTTATCATATTATCCATAATATACAAATTTGAACAGTTTTCAAACTAATCCAAACCACACACACCCAAATACCACAGAAAAAACGCTTCTCTTGCATTTCACTGTAATGAGCAGTCATTCACATAACGGTTACCCATATTGCGCCATTTCCCGAACCGTTTTTCTGCGTTTTTCTTCGGTATTTTCCTTTTTTCATTTCCCAAACATTACCAACGTGAAATGAGCAAAGGAAAACAATTGAGAATGCTTCCAAGTAGAGTCTGTTGACAATCTAACATCATTTATTTATTTTCTCAAGCGCAAAAAGGGAGAATTCAGAGGGGAAAAGAGGGCAAGAGACTGAGCGACGACGAGTGGCAACAAATTTAATTTCATAAGTGACTTTTGGCAAGATAGTTGAAGGTGTCTATAAATACATACATATAGGCGATGTCGGCATAAATTTCCCGCGCCCAGACTGCAGCATAGCGCACGCGGAAAGCCCGGGAAAACCGAGGCAGATATCTAGGTGAAATCGTTGAAAAAAACGGGGAAGAAATCAAAGTAAGAGAAGGCTCTAAAATAATCAAAGAGCGCACGTAAAATCGAATCCAATGATGAGACACGCAACACTGACGGTGGAGCACCCACATAAAGAACCCAAAGCTGTATTTACTGACTTCAAAAAACCTCTTTTCCCTGCCCCCGTAAAATCGTGAAAAAAGGGGCGGAAGAGGGCTGACTTGTCATTGATAACAATGCAATAAATATAAACTACAAACTACACAGTAGAAATACAAAATACGATCAAATATATGATACTCCAGCCTCACAGGAAAAAATAAAAACATTCGTTCGTAAATTTTCCAGCGCTTGCCGCATGTCAGCAATATTTTCGCTTAAGTGCCCCGCCCACAAGTGGGGTCCCACAATTTCCCGGTATATCGCAATTTTAGATTTTCCGTTCTCTTTTCGCGTACCTCTGGATTCAGTATGCGGCATTTCGCATTTTCCAAACCAAGCAAAATATCCTCTAATTTGGGGATTTGTGTCCCCATTTGGCATGGAAATAAATTTCAGGATAAGCTATGCTAAAATTACTTTGGTGGCTTGAAGCTGCATTTCAATTCGATACGAAAATTATTTAAGAAACGCGATATATCGTTCTTCCTTTGGACTTGTGAGATTTCAACTATTCTTAACAGATTTACGAGTGCACAAGATGTTGTACTTGATATTTTGTGTCTACATTTTTCATATATTTGACTTTCGAAATAATTGTTTTAATAGATTTCCTGTGAAATATCACAATGTAAAGCTCTTTTACCTACATGGCAACTCCCAATAATACTCGCAGTCCAAGTAGAGCTCATTAATACTAGTAACAATGGGACGGAATCTCAGCTGAGCTCAAAGCTGGCGACTTATTTTGGGCAAAAGATTTACGCGCTGACTGCATTTAATTGTGTTCTCTGGCTGGCTGTGGATTTCACCTTTGCCCTCGGTTCCTCGGCTCCTCAGTTCCTCAGTTCCTGTCTCGAAATGGCTCTGACAAATCCAAGGATATTCCCGAAACTGCTTTGAAATATGAGCGGCATTTCGTGCGGTTCTTTTCGGGTTTGCGCCCCGTAATTTCCACTCCACTTTTTTCCTTTAACCGACAGTCGCACGCTCTTTTTTTATCCCTGTATTTTCTTACCACGAAGCGAACACCCAGAGAAATAAGAGCGCTTTTCCGCTGAATATTTTGTATCCCGAAATCATTAACAAATAAACAACAAAACAATTTTCTCCCTAATATTGTATACAAACTGATAATACAAATACAACAACATTGTTTAAATAGAAAATTTTTGCGTACCCTCTGTTTTTCTGTGTGTATTTTGCGGGCCAAAAGACAGACCAGAAAAAATTGACACAAAAATTGATTTTTGTGCCTTTATCATGTTGGTCATTGTTGTTGTTGTTCTTCACACAGTATCCCATTTTACCCTTTCTCGTCCCACCCATATACATACATACATATGTACATATACGTATACATACATATGTATACGTATACATATACATACATATTGTGTGTGTGTTTATATCTTGTTCTTGTTCATCGCTTTTTATTTGTCTGCCTTTCAATTTTAGTTGTTGCTTTGTTGCCCGAACCGCCCCTTTCCCCTTTCCCCTTCCCTTCCACATCATCATTTTTTGCCTTGTTGTTCCGCCTTTCGTCATGTTTTTAGTGTGTGTTTTGGGGGGTTTCTTCCCTTGAAAAAAGAAAAAAAAAAAACAACGCCGAAGTTTGTATACCCTTGAACTGCGCAATTGGATCATTGAGAGTCGATCCATTCATTCCAATGGATTGCGTATAGGTACATACATACATACATACATACTATATATCAGAACAACGAAAAGGGTAAACTTTCATTACAATTACCTTTTTACAATTGACGTATATTTTCAGATTTACATTTACATTTACATTTAATACTTACTGTTTTACCTTTTTCGACACATTTACCTATCGTTTATATGGCAACAACATAAAGAGTCGTTGGATTTGCATAATATTAAAACAGAAATTCTACGACCCGTAAAAAGAGCATATTTTATTGTAGATAAAACGATGCTTAAAACGGCGAAATCTGAAGTTTTTTAAATTTCCCGATCGTTTTCGTGGTACCTATGTAATATACATACGTAGTTATCCGATCTTTGCTGTCCACACTATCATTCAGATAAAATTAAGCTAAAAGACTAGCTTTCGGAAAAACGGACATACAGACAGACATACCTGATTCGACTCGGCTATTGTTACAAATACATGTACATATGTACATGTGACTATAGGATACACGGTACCAAACGTTTTCGGCATTAAAACATATAAAGTAATGTAAGTAATACTATCAAAATTT